GACAGTGATGCCAAGGCATTTCAGACACTTAGAGTGAATGACTAAACCTGGCTACACCTTCCTGGCCTCTAAAGAGAGCTACCAATATCTCCTAGGAAAGGATCATACAAACTTAGGGTTTGATGGCAATTTATTGTAATTCAATGCAGCCTTTCATTCTGTGCTGGAGAATAGCAAGTCTTCAAGGAATGTTGATGCCCAATGTACCATCCACTGGGTAAAGACAGGAAACCAGGAGAGACAATACCAGGAGAGCATGCTTCTGTCATCATCTGTGGAAAATGCCCTGCAGGCATTGGAGCATCGAGGGAAGCACCCAGGATTCTGGAATTTCATCTCCCCACACTGTGGGCCTATTTCAGCCATTATGGTCTCATTCTTTGGAACCAAAGAGCTGTCCAGGAAAACTACGCTAGCCCGAACTGTGGTCTCATCTAGGAGTGACCAAGTTGGGCTGGGCAAGGAGGTCTGAATGGGACTCTGGCACAGTGGGGGATTGTGACATCATCAGTGATGGCCTGAGTTCACTATTGCTGGTCCTCCGGTCCCAGCTGTTACTGCAAGTCCATTCCTCTACCATGTGTGTGGAGCAGCTAAAATCAGCAGATCCACATGTAACTTGAGGCGACAGACTGGCTCTGGTAATAGCCCCATTTTTTCATTTGGAAAGTGACCTACTAGAATATTGTACTTTCTTTTTGGGTGAAGGGAACAATGGTGTCTAATTTCCTAGGGAAGGTTCCCTTTTTCCAGATAAAAGATTCTTCTTCTAAATGTTCCAGACATGGATGAAAGAGTCCGAGGAAGACCTCGGGGAGGGGGAGAGTGAAAGCTTGTGTCCAACCCCTACTCTGATGAGTTTGGCATAAATCCGGGGGGATTATGTTGGCCACTTCAGAGGTCTTATGGTCACACTAGGCTCCATCCCAGACCCTGAGGTCTAACCATATCTGCCTCACTCTTTTAAACATTGTTATGGGCCTGGGGATGTAGCCTGGGATTTGATCCCTACTATCATAAGCAGACTAGCACACAAACAAATAATGCTTTATTTCTGAATTGATAAGATCAATGTCATGTTTTACTCAAACCCTAATGGGTTGTGTAGGTCAAATAGGTTAACTCATTTATGTATTTATAAATAAGCAAACCTGAACTCAATAAGCATATTTATGTAAATGTGAGGCAAAACTGAATCCACTCCATGAAAGGGGTTGTGGTAGTTCATCCCAGACTAGTGCCTTTGAATTGTAACTATGCATACATAGACTGCAGGCTTAATTTTAGCTAGCTGAACCACCAGAAATGTTAGCAATCTGTCTTCAGATTTCTTTTGCTCTTTCTTTCTACTAAGAACAAACTCTTGAAGTATAGAATCCTCAGTTTTGTGTTCCTTTAAACAGAACTGTGCCTGCTTTATCAGGTAATATTCATTTTGACACAAACTTGTAAGCAACAGCAACAATTTCAAACTGTTTTATCTTGAAGTATTAATTTACATGTGTTGCTATAGATGTACAGTATATATATATAGTTAAGAGACAGGATAAACTTTAGCTAGATGTTTTCATCATAGTTCTTATCACTGTATTGAGACTGGCACTATAAAAACAATCTTTTCAGATTCTGTACCTGAGAAAACATAAAGCCTTCACTCAAATATTTGAAGTCTCATGAAAAAGTCATGTGAACATGTTAATGAATATCCTTTTGTTAAATATTGTAATTTATGCTTTCTCTTTAGGACTCTTTTCCATTTTAAAAATAACCAGGACAATTTTAACAAATGTGCTTCTCTCACACAGTGAGGGTAATTGAGTAATAATTCTGCATTTCACATTCAGTACTACAGCTAGGAAGTGCGGCAATGGTACAGTTGCTACTACATTTACCATCAGACCATATGGTACAATTTACATCCGCCAAGGAGAGTGGCCATTGCACACAGGACAAAACAACAGAGGCTTTTTATTTTATCTTTTGTGGTGCTGAGGAGGGGTTCCAGGGCCTGCTCTATGCTGAGCAAGCCCTTTATCTCTGTGTGCTACCCCCAACCTTAGGCACTGTCTTAAGACTAATCAAGAGACAAAAGTTAAACTTTTAAAATGTGTTTCCTCAGTTATTACTGCATAGCACATACATTTGTCATAGGTACAATTCTCACTTTTACACAAAAAATTCCAAGGTACGTACAACCAAGTCTCAGAGCAGTACACACTCTGGAGGGGAGGTGATCTAGGAGGCAAATGATTATCATGTGATGCCACGCTAAGTGTGACAGAAATATGTGCAAGGTATCACCCAAGTACAGAAGGAGAAACATGCATAACAGCTAGAGTCTGGGATGAGTAAGGAGACAATCACAGGGAAGACCATTTTTGAATTCATTACTGAGCTGATGTAGGAAATACATCCTGATGGTTGAGAAAATACACTGCAGTTATATTGTATGCATTTTAACCTCAGCCCCCCTGCTAACTTGCTGTGGCAATTATGGCATGTTGTTCATCTGTTGAGTCTGTGCTTCATTTTGTCCTCTGTGGAATGGGCACAACAATCTGGCACAGCTCCAGGGGTTAAGTGAGGGTTACACAAGGGTCAGGGGCTTAGAGACAGCACACAATCTGTGGAAAGCCCTTATTTAGTGTCAGCGACTGTGCCAGGAATAACAGAATGAGAGAAACCAAAGGAATATGAAGGACAAAGCACTTTTGTCTTGTTAAAACTGATACATGAGACGAATTCGTATGGAGGGTGGTGGGGAATGGCAAGGGAGTGGACTGATTAGGAGAGAGAAAATTCTGTACCATAAAGGCTCAGGCTAAAGCAGCCGTTGAATTTTAAGGAAAAAGTTCGGATTTGCATTACAGAAAAACAACCCTGGTGCAGTGGAAAAAAGTAGTGCCTGGGAAATTAGTTAAGAGGAAGAGTGGTTAAGTCAAGAGACGTGATAAAGGCTTGGCCAAGGAATCGAGCTAGCGTTCAGATGTGAAAGTCACTTAGGAGACAAAATTGAGGAGAGTTGGTAATAGGTTAGATGGGGGGCAGTGTTTACTTTGGGTGAATTGGCAAGAAGACCGAAGGAAAAGCAGGTTTGGGGATAAGATTTTGGATTTGTCAAGCTTGAAGGGCTGGGGGATGACCAGAATTGGGGCCGAGGCCTGCCACTCAGGAGCTGGAAGTAAGGGTTTTAGATTCCTTAAGATTCAGGCTGGCACTGTGGGAATGTGACAGCATGACACGGGTTGCATGCAGGAAGAGATGCCGGGGTGACTGTGAAGTCCAACATTTAGTAAGAGTCAAAGAAGAAAGCCAGCAAACCAAAGAGGCCGGAGAGGAAGAACGCGATGTAGAAGAAAATGAGCCATGGGAGATGACAGAAATCCACGGAGGAAGTGTTCAAATGCAGAAGTGAGGCCAAGAACTGCCCCTCAGCAATTAGGAAAGGGTGTAAAGGAAATCCACGAACTATTGCTTCCATGAAGTAAAACACAATGGAACAAGAGCTCAGAGTCCTTTTCATAAAGTCCCAGATGTTAGTTGGTATTTAAAGTCAGTCTAGTATTTTAAGTCGCTAGGTGAATCCCAAGAAAGCCTCCACAAATGTGGTCCAGTATCTGGCTTGGTGCACAAGACAGATCTGGTCTGCCTTATAGGGCTTGTTTTTCTAGCCCAGCAAGAAGCCTGGCCACACTGGTACCCTCCACTAACTGTTGGGGGCAGACTGAATGAATGTATGAAAGGCCTGCAGCTGCCAAAGATCTGCCTTAGTAGAGCCCTGGGAGTTCTCAATGCAAGGTTGTTCCCAGGAAGTGGTAGGCCCTTGGGAGCTACCAAAAAAGTAGGTGTTTTGATAAGAACACCAAAGTTGTCAAGTAGCAGGGCTGACTGATGTGGTAGTACTTGCCTGTGTCAGGGAAGACAGTGTTGACATGATGGTAGAGACAACAGGCCTACTCGGGCTGACCTTGTTATCAAATATATGTAACTGTTGGTTCAGTCTCAGATACACTTTTCTTAGTACATTTACTCTATTCCATATTTTCTTCCTTCCTTCCTTCCTTGGTGTGTGAAGATGCCCTGGATAGAGATTCCTGGGGATTGTGCCTAGGGGTTCAAGTATCCTAGGGCAGTGTTTTGAGACAGGCTTTCTCTCAGTTGCTCAAACTGACCTGGAATTGGTAATTTCTTGCCTCAGCCTCCTGAGTAGTTGAGCTGTGCCTGGCCTGTAAATTTGTAAGGCCAAGGATCACTTTAAATGAGTCTTTTTGAACTCCTAGCAGCGCATATTTGTCCACTTGATCCCCAGCTAACAATCCTGGTACTCTCCAGCCTCAGATGATTTGCAATGCAAGGTAACCATGCTTGGACTGTCAACCGGGTGTGACATAAACCTTCCCAGAAAAATGTCCTACTGATACCTTCCAAACTTCTCCTGGGAGGGTGAACTTTCAGAGGAGGTTTTAGGGTAAGCAGTAGACAGCCAATGATACTACCCTTGGTCTGGGGCTTCTAATGCCCAGTCCTCTCCCTGGGGAACTTTAGGGTGAGGTCTACTGTAAAGGGCAGAGCTGGACTAAGGTCTCTTCTGGCATCCTAAACATGGAGGTGATGCCATTCAGATCCTGCAAATGAGTGGGTATTGGTGGGGGACACAGGACGAGGGTGATTTTACTACTTCCTCCTTCCTTCTTGGGGGGCATCGATGGGGAGAGGTGGCTTGGGACGCAGCAAGTGCCTCGACACCCCTTCCAGCCGCTCCCCGCAGCTCAAGCCTGCCTGCTCCCCGGTCGTCGCGGGGGCGCAGCGCCCAGAGGCGAGGAGGGATGTCCCTTGGCGCCCCCACCCTGCCCGACTCCGGCGGGGCGGCGCGACGATGGCGGCGCGCGAAGGGCGGCAGCGCCCGCCCTGCCCCGTGTCCCCCGCTCCGCCCGCGCCCGCGCCCCCGCCCGGGGATCCCCGCGCCCGGGGAAGCCCCGCGCCCGCCGCCGCGGCCGTCCCCGTCCCTCCGCCTCCGAGCCCCGGGGCAGCCTCCTCGGGCCGCGCCGGGGCCGCCCGCACTGCGCATGAGCGGGAGCCCGGCGAGCCCGTGAGAGGAGCCGCCGCCGCCGCCGCCGTCCATTCGCTGCGGAGCCGGAGGAGGAGGGGAGAGGCCTGGAGGACACCAACATGGTGAGGCACTGCGGCCGCCCGCCGCCCGCCGCCCGGGCCGCGCCGCCGCGCACCCGGCCGGCCCGCCCGCCCTGCGCCCCGCGGCGACCCCGTCGCCCCGAGCGCGGCCCGCGGCCTCTGCCCGCCTTTTCCTTCCTCCTTCGCCCTTTCCCGCCCGGCCGCCGCCGCTACGCGAGAGCCGAGGAGGCGGAGCGGAGCCAGGCCTAGTCGGGAGCCCGGAGTGTGGGGCGCGGACGCGGGAGCCGGGGGGCGTTGGGCGGGGGAGGGGCAACGGCCCGGCCTGCGGGCCCCCGCGCCCCCATTGTGTCCGGCCGGCGCCGGTCCCGGGCCAGGGTTCCGGGTGAGGGGCCTCCCTCCGCCCGGCCGGGAGAGGAAAGACTTCGCCGCGCTCCTCTCCTCCTCGGCGGCGGCGCCGGCACCGAAAGTGTCCGGGCAGTTGCGCTGGGGCGCGGTATCAGCCCCTTCCTTTGCTCCATCCTCTCCTGCTGCGTCCCGTGCAGCGGAGAGAGGAGTTTCTCCGGCCAGTTGGTGGAGGTTATATTTACCTCTGGGCTGCAGGCTGGGGAGACCGCTGAGCTGGACGCGGGGCGGGGGAGGGGGGGCTTACGGAAGTGCAACCTGTTCTCATTTCAGAAAATTAGCGAAAACACACTTAGGGACTTTAGAGTACTTATTTTATTTGCTTGGGAGGGAGGAGTAATTACTTTATTATAGCAGTTAGGGACCATTTGCGATTAAAAAAAATAGTTTGTAAAGTTACTCCTCTTTGGTTTGGAAGCGGGGAGGAGTCTCTTTATGTTTAAGGACCCTTACAGTCGAGTTGTTTCTTTGGGAATTACACACCTGACTCTGTTGGGCACTCTTTGTTTTTCAGAAGCGATGTTTGGCATCATACGGTCTGAGCTTGAGTGGAATTCCATGCAGGTTACAGTATGAATAGTAAAAATGATGTCCTTTTGCTCAGGGGCAAAGAGAGGCCTCTTTCAGGAGGGTGTACATGTGTGCCTGTGTCACAGGAATGCCCCAGTGTCTCTGGTTTTCGTAGATTATTTTTGCTGACTGATACTTCTTGGCCCAAACCTGGCAGTATTTTGCTGTCATACTGTGTGGATATGTGGCCTGTTTTGCCACATGTTCAAGATTTTTGTTCTGTGCTAAGTTCCATGAAATTTTACAATTTTTGTAGAAAACTTTCCAGTAAAGTGTAGGTTAATCTTTGGACTGATAATACCCTGTTAAAATTCCAAGATCCACCAAGGAGTCTCAACAGTTTCAAATTTCTTACATATTTAAATAGTCATAACAGAGTTTTTAAACTCTTGGCATGTAGATAAATATTATCAAGCTTGAAGTGATGAAGTGAGTTCCCTAGTAAACAGAACACTGAAACGTGTGATGTTCAGGACAGTCTCCACATCACTGCATTCCCTACAATGGAGGGGCCCGATGATCATCAGTTGTTCAGGAATTCAGATTGAATTGGAACTTATAAGTTTTTATCCTTTTAGTTAATATTAAATTAGGTAGTTTTGGAATTTAACTGTAAGTCATATAGTTATACCAGTGTTGACAAAGTATTTTTTTTAAATTAAAAAAAATTTATAAAGCCAAATTTTGTTCCCTAACAAATCACTGATTTAAACACTTTTTGTAGCTGAACTCTTCATGTTGGTCCCTAGCATTGTCTTGTTGTAGGCTCTGGTTTGATAAGGGACTCATTTGAGCCTATAAGAATTTTGTAGTTAAGGTATTTCATTACAAGCTTAAAATTTGTTTTTCCTTACAGTTTTTGAGTTAATGTTACTTTTTTGGTGTGAGTAGAGGGACCTGTTTCCACAGTACATGTTGTTAATTGTAGGACAGACTTAAATCATGGGCTGTCTTAAATATTTTCTATAACAACAACAAAAAAAATCTTACTGCTTTTGGAGCAGTTAACATTCTCACAAACATCAGAGACCATGCAAGACCATACTATGTTGTTTTTGAAAACCTTTTAAAAAGTGTTCAAAACTTATTTTCTTGCATGTAAGATGACAGAATTGGATTTGATGATCTTTAAAGTTCTACCCAGCCTAACAGTTTCATAATAATAATTTCTAATCAATGGGTGAGATGTATATAGATTATATCATCTACTGGGTTTTAATGAACTCAGCAGCAGAACCTTTAGACCTGAAATGGCCTCAAAGATCATCTAATTTACTACTTCTCCCTGTTGCAGAAGAAATTGATGGTCAGAGAGATTTTGAAGTTTGAGTTCTCCTAAGTTCTCAAGTAACAAAGCACGTTAAGTAACAAAATTCAGATTACTGTTTTTAGTTGCCTTTTAAAAAAATGTATGGATTTAGAAATTTAAGATTACATTTTCTACAAAATCAGAATTTACAAATCCAGATGTGTACATCTCTTCCAGGTTGTCTGTTTAGGACTTACTACACATTTATTTGCATATCTACAAGTAAAGGGCTTTAATTTATTTCAATATTTATATACTAAACTTACGCTACATGCCAGTGTTTAGGCATTGAGAACATGTGTGTGTCAGTGAACTGACAAATCCTTGGTTACATTTTAATTGGGAAAGACAAACAGTGAACAGTTGGTAATTTTGTTACTTACCGTGTTATAAAGTATTCAATGCTATGGGTAGTGGTGGGAAGGAGACTGGAAGTGCTGGAGTAGTATGGAAGCAGAGCTGCAAAATGGTTTCTGTGGCTTTGACGAAGTGAGTTTTGAATAGACTGGAAGATGAGTGAATAAGCCATGCAGGAATATGGTGGGATGTCTGGTGTACTGGCAGATGCCTGCAGTCCCAGCATTCGGAGGCTAGGCAGGAGGGTGTATTCTAGCCCATCCTAGGCTATTAGTGACTTAGCAATTTAATGCGACTGTCTCAAAAATAAAAAGGGTGGGGAATGTAGCTCAGTGCAAAGGCCTTGAGTTCAACCCTCAGTAGCAGGGTGGAGGGGTTGGAAGAGAGTTTGAGGAACAGTGAAACTAGTGTGGCCGGAGTTGTGTGTGAGTGTGTAGAGGGAACCAGCGGTGTGGCTGAGGGGCTGTTTCAGTGGTAAAGTGAGAGTAGGCCTGAGAGTGGTCATTGTAAGGGTCATTGGAAAGCCACTAACAGATTCTGAAGTATGACAGTCCTTGTTTCTAATGTCACATGCCACCCTATTTATTGTAATATTATAAATAATTGTTTTTATTTGTTATTTTTTGGTACTGGGAATTGAACTCAGGACCGTGTGCTTGCTAGGCAGGCTCTGTGCTGTTGAGCTATATCCCCAAGCCTAGATAATTGTTGTGGGAGACAAGACCCTTTGTAGTTTTCTTAAACCATGCAGTTTATACATTGGGTTTTGAATTTTAGGATGATTGGCTAATGTCCAGTAAAAACTTGATGGCCACCACCTAGCCACACTTGGGTTAATAGAAACAGCACAAGATCTCTTTCATAGATCACTGAATATGTTGAATATGATCTGGAGGTAGTAGGTGGTTTAATGACTATATGCAAGAAACATGGGCCTTTGGGGAGAAAGGCGATTAACATTTATTGAGAACATAATATGTTAATTAGTTTACAAATATTTAATCTCCATTCCCACCTTTGAAATAGGAGTTATTGCTACACTTTTAGCATATCTGGAAAGTTAGAGTTAGCATTCTAAATAATTTGGACCAAAGTAAAGTGCTGATAATGCGACAGAGCTGCAGAGTGGAAGCATGGTCTCCGGCTATACTAAATCTTCCCATCAATCCTACCTACTTCTTTGGCTTTTTTTCTTATAACTTAAGTAGCACCATGTCAGAATAGGTTTGTGATTTCTGATTAGATTCATTCTGGTTTTCTCCTCAGCATGTCATCAAATAGCAACCTGGTTGCTTCCTGTCAAATGATCTGATGTATACATTAAGTATGAATTGAAAGTTAAAATTTTTTTAGTGTATAAGTAGCAGAGCTCATTTGAGTGAAATGGCTGTTTTGACTGTATCCTCATAGGTTAGGTAAATCATAAAAAAAAATATGGGAGAAAACCCTCCTTTAAATTTCAATATGTGGTGTTCAAGTTGCAGTGGGATTAGCCATGACATTCGATGATGAGAAATAGTTCCAAATGGGATTCAGTTGCTTGTGGGCAGAGACAAGCTCTTGAATAGCCAACTGACTATCAGTGAGGAATTACCTAGCTCACCTGGCCACTTTTAGTGTGTACACCTGCAGAAGAAAAGAAAAGCACAAGGGATCAATACTTGGTTGAATTTATTTTGTATGATTAGTACTATTCCAGGTCACAGAGTGGTTAGTGGTTAGGCTTGTCTACAATGTAAAAATTTTAAGAGAGATTTACTTTAAAATAGTTCTTTTCTAAAGAATTCTATTGAATTATACTTTTGAACTCCTTAATACTGAGCACACGGGTAAGTTGTTATATTAGGGTATTTTCATTTCACATATTTAGAGTGCTTATTATTCAAAGGATCTTAGTATTTCTATTTAGGATATGAGTAGATACCAAGTTTTAGAATTACTTTTTTTTCCCTTCAAGGATTATCCTTTTTATAAAATAAATACTGCACACTGTTGAGTGCTGGCCATACACATGGAGCTTTAAGCATCTCATTTCTTTTATGTTTTGTTTGCCTTAGCAATCGTCTTGTTAGTTGGAGATTTCCATGTTTATGGAGAGAGGAGAACAAATGATTTACTGAGATGGGTCTCTTCCTATGCTGCCCAGGATGATCTGTGTGTAGTTCCTGGGCTCAAGTGATCCCTCACCTCTTCCTGCCTCCTGAGTACGAGGTGGGAATGTGGGTGCAAGCCACTATGCCTGGTTTGGAAAGCAAATTTAAGTTAGCTACTTCTGACTCTGTTAGTTTAAACAATAGTTTGGAAGAATCAGTTGAAATAGGGCTAAGACAAGTAAAATTTTAGGAGGTTATTTCTTGTTAGCATAGATAATTAAGAATTAAAGAACTTAATAACTTTTTTCAAT